TTATTAGGGAGAGAGAGGGATGCCTTAATTTTAAAGCACTCACCCCGCCCTGTCTTCCCAGACTTGTTTTTATAGGATACCAGCATTTCTGAATTCACAAGCAGTCTGTCTGAGGTTGACTATGCATTGACCCAGCAAGTTTTCTCCATCAATCAGTAAACATTATCTAGGAGAACTGTGGAGAAGGAATGTTTAAGGGAAAAGAAACACCCTGTATGCTACAGCACAGAATGATGATGGAACTTAGTAGGAGCTGCACTCGGGGGGGCCCCATGGGACAAGATTGGACATGACTCAGCCTCCTTGGGCCTCTCAGAGACTCGCTGAGATTTAAGTAAACACAAAGCTGAAAGGACTCTGGAGAAAAAGCTGACCCCCACTTCCAGCAAATGGGGCGACTGAGGCCCAGCAAGACAAAATGGCATCACTAGGATCACACTGCTAGCTGGTGACAGTTTGAGGCCTGGCCTACCCACCCCCACTACCCCTTCACCTATCTTACTGTCTCAGAAGCCTAATGAGGAACGTTTCATGCCGGGGTCTAAGGACCCTGGCATTACAAATGACTTCTTTTCAAAGAAAGAGGAACAGGCCCCCTCAGCTGAGCTCTGAGATCACTGCTGTGATACCCTAGGAATGGCAGAAATGTGTCAAGTTACCCTGGACAATACACTCATGACCCGAAGCCCCCTTTGCTATTTAGGGGACTTGTGGTCGTGACATGGGCACCCAGTGTTGATGACCTCTCAGATGCCCTGGCGCTCTCTTGCCCTACTCAGAAGATTTCGACTCTAGAAACCAAATTCAGAATCACACCTAGGTGCACCTTTTATAGTTGTAAAGAGCAGCCTTGAAATGTCCCCATGATTTCATGATTAGGGGAGCCCATGCTAAATACCAAGTAGAAATTCTGAAGCACCGAATTTTCATCTGGATTTTTTTTCCTGAGTTTAGGCTGAAGTGTTTTAATAAAATCCTAATGACTCATCACAGATCCTGCATCTCTGTTGCCTTAAATGTGATTTGCAAATTCAGAACTACCAACCAGCAACTCAGAAGCCATTTACTAAAAAAAGTACTTTTATGTTCCAGAAGGCTTAAGGACCCAAGGATGAGTCAGAGAGGGGAGTCTCTGCCCTGGAGAAAATCCCAAACCAGTAGAATTACACACCAACCCATAGCAGAAGCACCACATGATAACTCAAGGATCACCTCCTCCAGGAAGCCTTTCCGAACTCTCCAGGGAGAATGAATAGAGCCTCCCTCTGGTTCTCATAGTACACAGTAGAGCCCTCTGCATCTCTTTACATCATTGTTGTGGTTTGTTGTGAGGTCTGTTGTACCCCTGGACAGTGAGTTCCTAGAAGGCAGAGCTTTGTTCAACTCTGTTCCCAGAGCATGGTGTAAAGTAGGTGGCCCTTCAAAGTCCTTTTATGGAGGAGGTATGACAGAGTCCTAGGGAGGCACACAGTAGGTAAAAACGCCATGTGACACAAACCAGGAAGCTGGAGGGTCTCGCACAGCTAGAGGCATTCAGATTGGGGTTTGAATAACAGGAGTTCCCGGTGTGACCTGAGAAGTGACTGTGTAAATGGCCGTCACATCCGCATTCGTGAAGGCCCTTTCCCTGCACTGTTACCTTTTTCCAGAAGGAGACACACCTTTTCAGTGAGTCTGACTGTTTCACTAAGACAAGCCATCTGTGTCTGTTTTCTTCTGGGTCCTTTGTTAGCTGGCTAGTTGTCAGTTCATTTTCAGCTGTGAATCTTAGTGTTAAAAATACACAGAAATGGTGGGTAAGGCCAGGCTCGGTCGCTCAGCCTGTAATCACAGCACTTTGGGAGGCCAAGGTGAGTGGATTGCCTGAGCCTGCAGGTTCGAGACCAGCCTGGGCAATTTGTTGAGGCCTCGTCTCTACAATAAATAAAAAATTAGCCGGGCGTGGTAGCATGCGCCTGTAGTTCTGGCTACTTGGAAGACTGAGGCAGAAGGATCGCCAGAGCCCAGCAGGTTGATGTTGGAGTGGCTGTGAGTGTACAACAGAGTGAGACTCCAACTCCAGCCTGGGCAACAGAGTGAGACTCCAACTCAAAAAAAAAAAGAGATGGTGGGTGGAGGTGTTTCTTGTCGATACCATTTCTGAGCAAGCCTCACAGAAGTTCCAGGCAGAGAGGTCACATTGGTCCATGCACACAGGGGGACTGTGTCTAAAACTTTTTTAGAAAAAAAGGGCTGTGCCTCTAAACTTGACCTTGTAGTTCCTACATGGACAGTGTTGCAACCTCTCTCCAAAGCCCCCTTACTTTTCTTTAGCACGTATTTTCTAACAAATGATACAATTTACCCTGGTGCAATGACTCATGCCTATAATGAAGCACTCTGGGAAGTGGAGGCGAGAGAATTGCCTGAGTCCAAGGTTTTGAGACCAGCCTGAGCAGCTTGGCAAGACCTCGTCTCTACAATAAGTCAAAAATTAGCTGGTCATGGTGGTGCACACCTGTGGTGCCAGCTACTTGGAAGGCTGAGGTGGAAGGATCGCCTGAGCCCAGCAGGTTGAGGCTGCGATGGCCATGAGCGTGCCACTGCACTCCAGCCTGGGCGACAGAATTCGACTCTTACTAAAAAAACCCCAAAAACAAATGATACAATTTATTTGCTAATTAAATTAATTATTATCTGTTCCTCTTTGCTAAAATGTAAACTCCATAAAGGCAGAGACTTTTGTCTGTCTTGTCATCCCAAGTGCCTAGGTCTATGTCTGGCACATATTAGGATCTCAGTGAGTGAATGAATATTGAAATGAATGAATATATTGAATGAATGAATGAATGCTTTGCTTCTGCCCTGATCTGAGCCCAGGCAAAGAGAGAGGCAGTTTTCCTAGCAGGAGTGGTACTCAGGACCAGAGAGCCCCTATCATTTCAGCCAGGGAGTCTCTATCCATGAAGTAAACTGCTTTCCTTCCAGTGGCGGGACTGGTGTGTGTCCCACCACAGATGTCATGGACATACATAAGCTAGCAATAAAGGCAGTCTCTGAAAAGTGCTCTCTTCATTTAAGTGTCAGTTGTTTACATGTATTCCTCATCAAAGGATGCAATTTTGATGCAGTCCCTAGGAGCCCCGTGTCAGGAGACCCAAGTTCAAATCCCGGATCTATACATTTCTAGCCCTGTTATTGAAGGTCCCTCGGTAGTCCTGCCTCAGTTTCCTCACTTGTAAAGTAGCAGCAATAACTCCCTTTCTACAACGTGCTGAGCATCGTGCCTCCTAATGCCCCGTAGGCCCCCATGGGCAGCATCAAGCCCATGGAGACCCTCCAACAGGCCAGGGAGTAGGTGGGTTTCACTAACCCATTTCCAAGCCAGGCTCCGACTCTCCCCAGGAAAAACTTCAAGAATGCCCCGCAAGTTTTGCTAGGGAGGATTGTGTGGCACCCTCCCTTCCCAGCCCAAATCCCCAGTAAGTCAGGAAGATGTATGTGTTTTAAAACATTGGGAGGTCTGCTTTGGATCACCCTGGAGCTGTGGCTTCCCCGGGCAGCTGGGAGGGAAGGGAGTCAGGTCCCCCGCCTGCCGTGCTCCACGGCACGAGCTCGCGCCTCACACAGGGGCTGCCTTCACTCAGCCTCAGCGACCGTTGGCTTTTAAATCATAAAAAGCTGCTCTATATACAGTTTACTCTGTTGCTAGAAGGCAGCGGAACATAGGTATTAAAAGAGAGAGAGAGAGAGAGAGAGAGAAAGCAGAAGAAGCAGCCGTTAATCCCGCCAGGCTTCTGGGTACTGGAGTAGTTGTGGATGACAAAAGTTAATTAGAAACATGAACAGTTTAACCGAAAACACTTGTGACAATTGGAAGGGCAGCCCCTCTGGGTGGAGAACTTTTCCTAGAGAATCACCGCGGGAGAGAGTGGCCGTGGCTGGGTAAGTCGTGCCATTGTGACTTTTCAGACACAGAGGTTGCTCTTTGGGGGTCGAGGGGGCGGGTCCTGTCTGCCACACACACTGGGTGTGGGCATGGTGTGGGCGGGCGCGGGCACCGGGCTCGGCTGTGACATGCTTCGCCTGCCACTTTCTCTCCAGAAGCTGCCGTCCTTGGGAGACAGGCTGTCTCGTTCCTAGCCCGAAGGGGGAAAGGACTGTGGGCTTCCTTACGGTGAGGCTGAGCCACCTCGGTGGTCAGCAGAACTCTTGGTTTGGAGCTTGCCCTTCCCAGCATACTTCTGGCTCTAGTTTGGAGTCTGTTCTGAGGAGAGAGCCCAGCCAGGGAAACACTCGCTGAGCGCCAAGGGGAAGCCTTGACTTTCAGATAACCTGTGTTTTCTTGCCTTCAGTGAAGCCTGCGCACAGATTATATTATTAAGTAAAAAAAAAAAGTTTTTTTAAAAAACCCAACCCAGATCATGTTTGTAACTCTTTAAAAGTGCCAGCATAGAAACAACATACATGCTTTAATAGGATTTAACGTCTGTGGGCCACTATTATTCTATAAAGATTCAACCTGGTTTCTCCTTCTTTTTCTATTTTTCTTTTAATCTGTTTTATTTTAACATCGCCGCTACATTGTTTCCTTAACGTTGGATGATTCTTGATTCTTTCGCATGACTGGGAAACAGGTTGTGAGATGGATAATTCAAAATGGTAGGTATTTCCTGTTCTTGCCTGGTCATGGCAGAGGTGTGGGTTTTGTTTGTTTTTTCATAGATTTGTGTTCTCAGTGATGCTTTCCAGTTATTACTGTTAAGATCAGCATGGATTTGCGCGGCACACGTCACCAAAGTGTGACAAGGGTGGGAGTGGAGGGTGTGAGCTGTGCAGAAGGAGGGGGAAATTGGGCCAGGATTTAAGACCTAACCACAGACACCCACAAAGTGGATCTTGGAGCTGTTATGGCATTTGGGCTGGGCGTGGCTGGCTGTGGAGCCGTGGCCGACCCTCCCAGTTGTCCGTGCAGGTGGGCAGATGTGATTCAGCTCTCCTCCCCTTCTCTGTCTCTGCAGAGCCACCGGCAAGCTCAGCCTCCTCCCACCCCGGAATGAGCGAGAATGCACCTGCCTCCTTGGAGAACACCGGCAACCCCATTCCCGTTAACTGCAGCACCTCCTCGGCCATCCCTCAGCCCGGCGTGGCCTCTAAGCCCTGGCGCAGCAAGTCCCTTAGCGTGAAGCACAGCGCCACGGCGTCCATGCTCTCAGTCAAGCCACCTGGGCCCGAGGCCCCCAGACCCGCACCCGAAGCCATGAAGCCGGCCCCCAACAATCAGAGGTCCATGCTGGAAAAGCTGAAACTTTTCAACAGCAAAGCGGGCTCCAAGGCGGGCGAGGGCCCGGGGTCTCGAGACACAAGCTGTGAGCGACTGGAGACCCTGCCCAGCTTTGAAGAGAGTGAGGAGCTAGAGGCCGCGGGCCGTGTGCTGTCCACGGCGGGCCCCGCTGCCAGCAGCCCCAAGATCGCACTCAAGGGCATCGCCCAGAGGACTTTCAGCCGGGCGCTGACCAACAAGAAGAGCTCCCCCAAAGGCAACGAGAAGGAGAAGCAGCAGCGGGAGAAGGAGAAGGACAAAAGCAAGGACCTCGCCAAGAGGGCCTCGGTGACGGAGAGGCCAGACCTCAAGGAGGAGCCCAAGGAGGACCCCAGTGGAGCAACCGTGACCGAGATGCCAAAAAAGTCCTCCAAGATCGCCAGCTTCATCCCCAAGGGGGGGAAGCTCAACAGTGCCAAGAAGGAGGCCATGGCGCCTTCCCACAGTGGAATACCAAAACCCGGGATGAAGAGCATGCCCGGAAAGTCTCCAAGTGCCCCAGCGCCATTGAAGGACGGGGAGCGGAGCCGGAGCGGGAAGCCGGGATCGGGGCTCCCCCAGCAGAAGCCCCAGCTGGACGGCAGGCACTCCAGCTCCTCCTCCAGCCTGGCATCCTCGGAAGGCAAAGGCCCGGGAGGGACCTCCCTGAACCACAGCATCAGCAGCCAGACGGTCAGCGGGTCCGTGGGGACCACCCAGACCACAGGAAGCAATACCGTCAGTGTTCAGCTACCTCAGCCCCAGCAGCAATACACCCATCCCAACACTGCCACGGTCGCCCCTTTCCTGTACAGGTAGGAGCCGCAGCCTAGCCTGCCGGGTCTCGGGCAAGAGCCTTTCCGGGGGACTCTGCGTCTGTGGGGGAAGAGTCGGGACTGCCCTCCAGAAACACATTAGCACGGGCGGAAGTGCCACGGGATGAGCTCCTAGTAGAGGTGAGCGTGTCCACGCAGCACTTCCTATGGCGGGACTAGGGGCGGGTCGGAGAGAGCCACGGAGGGGACGTGAGCTGTGAGCTGGCCCCCGGGGTGAGCAGGAACCTGCCAGGGACGGGGGATGCCAGGCACTTCAACAGCAGCCAGGGCAGGTGTGTGAAGGCCTCAGTGCTTAGAGTCACCCGACGGGTCCCAGTATCAGGCCTAACACATCCTCAATGTACTTTAAGAAAACACCAAAACCCCCTTGGTGGATAAAGGAGAGAGACTCCTTCTCATAGCAATGATTACCTAGAATGCCCAGATCCTCCCAGGCCTGCTGCATGCTAGGGCCTGAGGGCAGAGGGAAATAGGAAAAAAGAGCAATGGTCGGGGGCAAGAGGGAGCAGCCCTGGAACAGAGAAGCCATGCCGTTCTGAGGAGATGAACCTGGGTGTTCCTGTGTGACTCCATTCTTCTGTCCTGTCTGCCCCCTCTGTCCCTGTCTCCATGGTGACACATCCATAGGACCATGGGAGACTGTATCTGTCCCTGATCCCTGCCCCTGTCTCTGCAGTGGGCACATCCACGGACCATGGGTGACGGTGTCGGTCCCCCAACCTCGTTTCTGTGGTGGCACGTCCATAGGACCGTGGGAGACCGTGTCTGTTGCCCCTACCCCATGGGGTAACACAGAGACATCTGTGGTGGCACGTTCTGTGACACATCCATAGGATCATGGGTGACTGTGTAGAGTCAGTGCTGCTTGCTCTGTGTTGTGGTTCTGGATGGTGACACCATCTGGTGGCCTAGCCTGCACCACGTGCCGTATCTGAAAGAGGCACCCCGGCTCCAGGCACTGTGCTGTACGTGTGACTGTGTCCACCCCAGCCAGGTGAAGGCTCCCCAGCCTTGCTCTGAGGGTGTTCCAGAGCTGTCTGTCACTCGTGTTGTTCAACTCCATCCTATGCTGGAGATGTGCGGTGCCCTAGGCCACACTGCACAGTGAGTAATGACCAACACCTGCATGCACAAGAGGACTCATGACTGAATGCTGTATTCTAGACACTTATGCCCTGACCCAAAGTGCTCATACATGACTGTACACTCACACTCCTATAGGTGTGGACACACATTGCCAGTCCTGTGTAAGTATGGACACAAGCCTGCATTCCTATAAAAACTGCAAATACACATATGCAGGCATGTATCAACATACTTGCTCAGGTACACAGACTCATGGCTACACTTGCGGCTTGCTGTGTTTGTATGGCAAAGAATGAGATATCCCTCTCCCCTGCCTGAGTTGTGTTCTAGGGGGCTGTGGTATGACTCCTGCCAAGAGCTAGTGGGGAGACTGGCTTGAGTGATTCAGGGTGAAGCCAGCCAGCCCCTGGCCAGCCAGGGAGTGTCACACTTCGCCCCGCCCTCCTCCCTGTTCTTCTGCTCACCTCCCCTTCAGTGAGGGTCACACCAATCTTTTTAATTGGGAGAAGGTCTCATTTTGTTAAATCGAGTCATCAGCTCCGCTAACAGTCCTGAGAAGAACGCTGAGGCTTAGAGAACGACTCCACTGGCCTACATGCATGGCTCTTTCTACAGTTGTTCTCTGAGGCATGGGGTGACTGCAGAGCTCCAATGACTTTTGTATGATCCCAATAGCATGGTTAGTCTTGATGTAATACATATTCATGCTACGATTCAATGATTCTTGATTTGCTTCTTCAATATCAAAATAGGCAATAGTCTTTGATGACCATCAGTCCTGCCCCTTCCTCTCCTTTTTAGGTTATAATCATTTGAAAGATAATAAAACAATTAACCTCCTGCTGTGCTTTTCTATGAGAAGAAGGCCACTTAATGAAAAGCAAATGTCTAACCAGGCAGAGGAAGGGGAAAACATCACAACGTGTATTTGACCAGCCCCATTTTAATGTTCATGCTATCTGGGTAATGTCCTTCTGGCCCCTACGAGTGCCTTCCTCTTTAGGGGAGCCTGGGAAGAAGAGCACTGGGATAGGAGTGAGGATGCCTGGCTCTGTCCTTCACAGCTCATGGTATCCTCTGTGGTCCTGGGCACGAGCCACAGGAACAATTGCTGAGTATGTACCAGGTGTGTACAGAGACTCTGTAAGGACTTTCCATGTCTGAGCTCATTTATTTCTTCCCACATCTCCATGGGTAGCTACTTTTTTATCCCCATTCATAGATGAGCAAACTGAAGCTTTGGGTCATTAAGTACCTTGCTCCAAGTTACAGAGCTGGTAACTAGAAAAACTCATGTTTAAACCCAAGTCTGCCTCACTAGTAGGACCGGACTCTTAACCACCTGCTGTCCTGACTGTCTAAGTGCAGCTGTCTTCACCTGTAAAGTGAGGAGACTGGACTAGGTTAGAGGGTTTTTTAAAGGGTGTACACACCCTTCCTGCTCTAGCATGCTCTCTCACATTTAAAGCTCACTGTAAACTACTTACCGTGCTCCACCCACAACCTGTCCCTGGTAAAGATGTTGTTACCAAGGGGTCAAGGGAAGATAAGTGGTCTTTAAAAATCACCCTGAATGAATTGCATTTATCAACTTGGAAGGAAGAATGGACACTTCCATCGCTTTATAGTTTACTTTGAGTTTTTGTGTCATATCACATTTGATTTTTGCAAAACCAGAGAAGGTTGCTATTATTATTCCCACCATACACATGAGGGTACTGAGCTCAAAGAGGTAAAGTGACTTAACTGAAATGTGCATGACTACTAAGTTACAGATCTTAGGGCTAGAGCCAGCTGCATGTTCAGGCTTCCAAGTCTGATGTTTCTTCCAGCACCCAGCATCTTTTGACACTTAAACGTTTCTCATTTATCTAGTCAACAGACCTTTCTTGAACTGTCTGCTTGGCATATGAACTTGAACTAACCTTTGCCTTCAGAGAGCTGCTGATCTGGTTGAGGGAAGATTTATTAATCAGATCATATTGACCGGGCGCGGTGGCTCAAGCCTGTAATCCCAGCACTTTGAAAGGCTGAGGCAAGAGAATTGCCTGAGCCCAGGGGTTCGAGACCAGCCCGGGTAACTTGGTGAGACCTTGTCTCTACAATAAATCAAAAAATTAGCCGGGTGTGGTAGCATGCCCCTGTAGTTCCAGCTACTTGGATGGCTGAGGCAGAAGGATCTCCTGAGCCTAACAGGTCGAGGCCGCGGTGGCTGTGAGCATGCCACTGCACTCCAGCCTGGACGACAGAGTGAGACTCCAACTCAAAACAAAAACAAAAACAAAAAAACAGATCACCTTGTAGTCCACAGGTAACAGGACGGTCAGTAGTATGCCACAGAAACACTCAAGAGGTGGTGAGATCAGCTGGCAACCAGTCAGGGAAGGCTTCCTGGTGAAGAGGACACAGAAACTGTGTCTCTAGGGCAGAGTAGGAGAGAACTAAGGAAGAAGAAGTTCCTTTAGACAGAGCTCAGAGTAAACACAGAAGACAGAGCTGTCAAGGGCTTGGTAAGATGGGGAATGGAGAGAAGCTATGTATGGGTGGAGCAGAAAGCAGAGCTGGGTATACAGTGAGGGAAATGCCAGGAGATGAGCTGGGAATAAAGGAACAATCCCATGATGGGGAATCATCTCCCACAATAAGGAATCCAGACCTTACTCTGTGGGCAATGGAAGCCATTGAAGAGATGATGTTATCACATCCGTCTTACAAAGATCGATGGAGAGTCATGTGGGCGGTAGACCAGACTCCAGAGTGTGGATCACAGATTGATTCAGATGCCTGGTTGGCCCAACAAAGGTGATATACAAAGGGTGGCTCGGGGTGGGTGGGGCTGCAGCCTCGGGAGCTCTGTGCAGTCACCACTAGACACCAGCAGGTGGCGCTCTGCAATGAGCACTCTTTCCAGATTATTGTTTTTACTGGGAGATGGCAGAAATCTAGTCATTTCTTGTGAAGTCTCCTAATTTTTAAGGGTAGAGCTAATCACAAAACTTGGAGATATTATGCAGACCAGTAGAAATAAACCAGATAAGGCTGGTTCCCATACCTGGCTGCCGTTTACAACCACCAGGCTAGAAGCAGGGCATCCATTTCGAAGCACTTATGGTCCCAGGCAAAGATTCGACCTCAGCAGGAGGGCCAGGGAGAGAAGGATTGTTGGATGACTTGAGGTCTACCAGTACAACTCTTAGAGTCTATTTTCGCTCTTGGTAAAGACTTTCTTCATCCATAGTGAAAGCTGATCACATTAGCTCAGGATGCTAATGAGTTAATAACGTTACACACAGGGTTATGCCTCCGAGTGTAATTATACATTTGCTTGCCATGCCTGAATGAGCAGAGGTAGTTGTGGCAAGAAAACATTGCATGAAGCCGTTGCCTCAATTTGCTTGACAAACAAGGACACGGAGAAGGTTTGGGGAAGTACAGATTTCAGTCAAGTGTTGAAATAATGATCAATGAGACCTTTCATGTAAGAAGATCTGAGCTCTGAATCAGAGACCTGGAGGGCAAACACACCTGCTTGGCACCCACTCCTGACTTTTTATGGCCACCTTTTCAGAGGGAGCCGTGTCTGGAGGATTTTTTTTGGGGGGGTGGGGGGTAATGGAGTCATCTTTCTGCTTGACTTGCTGGCGTTGCTGGTTACTTAGAAGTTGCTGTGGCATAGGTTAAATTTTCCAAGCCACCCAGTACTTTCCAGCATGTGTCTGGCTAGACCTAGCTCCCTGAGGAGCGTTCAGAGAAACCTTTCCCAGTGAGGGATTGCAGACCCTCTAGTTGGATGAAGACTATTTCATCTTTTACAGTCTGGTGGCTTTCTCTGTTCTTAGGACAGTGTTCCACACGTAGCTAATGCATTATTGAGCATCCGTCTGCTGGTCTGCTCTGTGCTAAAGCCTCTTGCTGAAGAAGGTGATGGTGAGGGCTGTGGTCAGACCACAGTGGGCCAGATGTGGCGGTAGCCTCTCGTGACAAGTGCGTCTGCTTTGGTTTGTGTGTGAAGGTCCCAGACGGACACCGAAGGGAATGTTACCGCCGAATCCAGCTCAGCAGGTGTGAGCATGGAACCCAGCCACTACACCAAGAGTGGACAGCCTGCTTTGGAAGAACTCACTGGTGAGTATAGAAGTCTTGACATCTGTGTCTGTTGGTAACGAGGTCTCCCACACTACCACCCGTGGGCACAGCATGAACCCCACCTGACTTAAAGTCATTTTACTGCTGCGCTGGTTGTTAAACCAACTTATTTTCTCTTTTTCTTAACTATTTGTCTTCTTCTTTCTCTTCCCTTATCTCTCTTCCTTACAATCTCCTCCCTTCTCCACAGAATTGTAAACAAGTCTCTTACCTATAGGCAAATCCTTTATTTATTTTATTTCATTTATTTTATTTAGAGACGGGGTCTCGCTCTGTGGCCCAGTCTGGAGTGCAGTGGTGCGATCATAGCTAATGGCAATCTTGAACCCCTGGACTCAAACGATCCTCCAGCCTCCGCTTCCTGAGAAGCTAGGACTACAGGTACAAGCCACCATGCCTGGCCAATTTTTAAAAATTTCTTAATAACATGGGGCTTCACTATGTTGCCTTAGCTGGTCTCAAACTCCTGGGCTTGTGTGAGTCACTGCATCCAGCCCCAGGAAATCCTATTTTAAAGATATATTCAATTTTATTCATTTAGGGTTCTGACTGCCCTGAGACTTAACTTTGAATATCTTTGTTTGGCCAGGCTCAGTGGCTCAGCTTTAGGAGGCCGAGGTGACTGGATTGCCTGAGCCCGCGGGTTCGAGACCCGCCCGGGCAACTTGGCGAGACCTCATCTCTACAATAAATCAAAAATTAGCCGGGCGTGGTAGTGCGCACCTGTAGTTCCAGCTGAGCGGCAGGATCGCTGGAGCCCAGCAGGGCAAGGCTGCAGTGGCCGGGAGCGGCCACTGCACTCCAGTCTGGGCGACAGAGTGAGACTCCAACTCAAAAAAAAAAAAAAAGAAGAATATCTTTGTTTGCTCTTTAAAGTTTGCTTTTTAACAAGATTTGAAACTCTAAAGTATTTTTTTTTTTGCATTTCTTTATGGAAGTATTGATTTAAAATATGTTCTTAACATCCTCCATTAATTGGAAAGAAGATTTCACCATGCTTCTTTTACTAAAAAATTGTATACATAGGCTGGGCTTGGTGGCTCAATCTGTAATCCCAGCACTTTGGGAGGCCAAGGCAAATTGATTGCCTGAGCCTGCGGGGTTCGAGACCAGACTGGGCAACTTGGCAAGACCTTGTCTCTACAATAAATTAAAAATTAGCTGGGTGTGGTGGTGCTCACCTGTAATTTCAGCTAGTTGGAAGACTGATGCAGAAGGATTGCCGGAGCCCAGCAGATTGACACTGGAGTGGCTGTGAGCATGCATTGCACTCCAGCCTGGGCGACAGAGTAAAACTCCAACCCCCCCCCCAAAAAAAAATATATATATATAAATATTTTTATATATATTTATGCATACATATATTTATAAATTTTACTTAAATGTAATCTAGACAATGATGATTACAGGGACATTAAACTATATAAAAGCATAAGATCCACAGTTGTCATATAGTTACCTCCACAGACTTCAATTTATTGATGTCATACTGTCACATTCTTATTTCATTTTTATTTATTTATTTATTTTTTTGAGTTGGAGTCTGACTCTGTCGCCCAGACTGGAGTACAGTGGCTCCCGGCTACTGCAGCCTCGCCCTTCTGGGTTCCGGCTATCCTTCCGCCTCAGCCTTCCAAGTAGCTGGAACTACAGACATGCACTACCACGCCTGACTAATTTTTTATTTATTGTAGGGACAAGGTCTCGCCAAGTTGCCCAGGTGGGTCTCGAACCCGTGGACTTAGGCAATCCACTTGCCTCAGCCTCCCAAAGTGCTGGGATTATGGGAGAGCCACAGAGCCCGGCCCACATTCTTAATTTAAAGAAGAAAAAGTACACCTGAACTAGAATTCTTGCAATAGTGTACGCCAAGTTACCGTCTTGTCCATCTCTCTTCCCCCTTCCCCAGCTCTGTGTCTTATGCTTCAGAAACTTATGGCCAGGGAAGCAAGAGCTAAGTCACATATATACTAGTGGCTGTGTCACACTTCTCATATCTTACCACTTCCAGAGTTACGTTAAAAATTGAATCCATGTCTAAAATCCATTTATTAAACTAAATATCCATGACTACCCCCATTTTAATAGCCATGTTACAACTGTGGAATTGGTCTGCAGCCCATGTGATTGAACCTTACTCATCTCGCCATCAGCCCTGAGTATCAATTTCAGAGGATATGGGTGATTGAGTTATTTCTGCCTGTTCCACTGGCTGGACACAGTGATGGTGCAGAGATTTTTTGAAGCCGTTTATACCATTTATAGGCAATCCATCTAGAATGATAAGGGGCCTCACATTTGGGATTGCATTTATGTTTCCTTCTCTTTGTGAGCACATGGGCAGCACAGGAAGAGAACCAGCAATGAGCAGGCGTGGCGTTCAGACGATTGCTCAGGTGTCCACACACATTCCAAACTGTGTTCTCACGTGTACACATCAAAGGAGCCAGGCCGGTGCTTCATAGTCCCACATGGCTCAGCTGTGTGGCCCATGGAGTGGTGTGTGTTCTGTCTGACATCAAGTCTCAACAAAATCTGTATGTGAAAAGCAAAAACAGTGGCCTAAGAACCTTCCAGATATTCCTTAAATTTTAGAGTGATCTCCCACTCATTTTTCTTTTCTTCTTTGCGTCTCCTCTGTACCAGAACTGTACAGCCAAGTAGAAATTTGGAAAGCCTACAGTGCCATCAGTTGCTTTGGTGACAGATTTATGCAGCCAGTTGTGTCCAACTGCACTCTTTGCTGTTGGATGAAATGATGTTGGTTGCAAATGAAAAATCCCTTCTCAGGGTGACTTGTCTTTACATTCAAGCAGTAGAAATCGTATGTATAACTTCGCTGAATTTTTTATGGAGACTCTGAATAGTAGCATGAGGTTGGATTTAACTTACCCACGGCCGATCCCTTGAGATGACAGTGAATGGTGGGTATGTTTAGAAATGGACATTTACGAGACTATTTGATCAGTTGCTTAGTTCTTTTCCTTATTTATGCAAATGCTGGATTTTCCTGCAATGCATTGTCATGTAATAGCACGACAGTTGAGAAATCCATTTTGGATTGTAGAGTTAGGAAGAACTGCACATCCCACTCATCATCCAGTCCATGGATTTCTTCTATAACTTAGCAATGGCTCGTCTTACAGCCTCTGCTTGAATATTTCTTGTGACAGAAAGGTTGCTCCTTCGGTAGTCCTTCATTTTTGTTGGTAGCTTTAGCAGTTAATAAAGCTCATTATTCTTACACTTTCAATCACTAGATATCATTCAGCTTCTAGAACCTCAGACAATTTTCACTCTTTTCCATGTAGCAGTATATCTCGTAAGCCAGGGGTATCCAACCTTTCAGCTTCCCTGGGTCACATAGAGTAAAGAGGAATTGTCTTGGGCCACACATGAATTATATAATATAGTTAGTATATATATAATAAGACTTCTTTTATTTTTTATTATAAAGTTGAGAAAAATGAGAGCAATATGCAACTCATAGGAAATTTGATCTTGTTTTTGTAAAACTAATTTATCAGTGTCCAGTTCGATGGAAGTGGTTGCAATTCTTAGTGAGTTCTCAAGGTGTTTGTCAGAAATATTTGTTTGAATTTTACTCTTTGTGTGCTTCATAATGGTAAACAGTTGCTCACAAATGCATGCACTGCCAAAACGTGATGTGACTGTGAAGCAAGGGATATTTCCTCTAGGAAGACAGGTCTTACAAAAGGCCGGTAAGGAGACATGGTCAAGTTTTTCTTTCAGTTGGATGTCTGATTGCAGCTTTCTGTATTCCATGTGAAAATTTGCAGGTAAAATATTAATGCCAACTGAAAATGGTGCAGCAGATATAACAAAATAGTGATTGTTTTGCCAGAAATCTTGAAATCTGTTTTCAAATTCCTATGTTAAGACAGAAAGCAAAGCTGCGTAAGTTTGGCAGTTCACAGGACTGCATTTAGCCAATGTAGAAAAATGTGTTAAATTATTTTCCATAATTTGAGCTTGCCATAGTTTAAGTTCAAACACAGTATCACTTTGGAACTTCAAAAGTGGAATTACACATGGGGTCACAAAGGAAATAAATGCTAAAAAACGCACAATGTTAAAAGATTTTGTGGGGCCGTGTTACTAGCTGTCCCAGGCTATATGTGGCTTGCAGGTCACGGGTTGGCTATGCCTGCCTTAAGCCTTCCTCTTCCGGGTAATCCCAGATTCCTCTTCTGATCTTTCTGTCATGCCTTGACATCCTCCCAAATCACTCGTATTTGCTCAGAATGTGATGCTTTCCCAGTCATGGCCCATGGCTAGAGTAGAACTGTCCTTGGAAAGCCAAGATCGCTGCAGGTAGACACAGAATAGCTTACTCAGCTTTTAAGATCTCTCTGCATCTATGAGCTAAAAGGCCTGGCTGTTTCTACCTGCTCGGTTGTGTTTTTATGGAGTTCAGGCTGGGGGTCAGTGGGCAATCTTACATTCAGGCCATCATCTGAGGCGGTCTAACTGGCAGCTGAGAATGTGATCATCTAGGCAAGCCAGGTGGGTTACTGTTTTGTGTTTCTATGCTACCCTTGGCATCTGTTGGAGTGCAGGGCTCTGAGGTGGGCAACTGTTTCCCAGCAGGACCTCCAAGAGGGAAACAGGACACGCACATTCACTGAGCCTTCATTTTGTGCTGGGTATGTCCCATGTGCCATCTCATCTTATTCTCCTGTTGACCTTTCTTGAAGAAGTTTTTTATCCTCTCTGAAATTCAGAGAGGATAAGTGACTTGTCCAAGGTCAAAGTGGCTAATAAATGGGAGTGCCATGATTCACTCCTTTCATCTGTGGACTGCAAAGTTCTTGCATTTCCCACAACCCCACAGTGACCAGATATGTCGGACAAAACATTTTTCCTAGGCATCTGTAGATTTGTGTGGAGGTTACCAAAAGTAAAGATGTGACACCATTCTCATCTCAAAGATCTTTGAATTTCTGACTGGGCATGGTGACTCACACCTTATAATCCCAGCAATTTGGAGGCTGAGGTGGAAGGATTGCTTGAGACCAGGAGCTTAAGACTAGTCTGGGCAACATAGTGAGACCCCATCTCTACAAAAATTTTTTTTTAAAAATAGGCAAGGCGGTGCCTGTTTGCAGTCCTAGCTACTTTGAGAGGCTAAGGCGGGAGGATCACCTGAGCCTAGTTCAAAGCTAGTATGTACTTCCACCCAGGTGACAGAGATCCTGTCTCTTAAAACAAACAGACAAACTTTGAATTTCTAAAGGAGAGTTAAGAAAACAAATATGTCATTAATAGAGAGTTGAATAAACATTGGTATTATATGTATTATATGTATTTTGCATGTGATTAAGGTAATTAATTGAGGTAATTTGAAAACTTCTGCCTAGACTTAGCTTTATAATCAGTGTAGGGCCTCAAACTTTCCAGAGAATCAGTCCCTTTAGACAGTCTTACATAGATAAGATGCGGCCCAGGAGACAGACACAGTTACACCCCTCCAAGGCCATGGGGGGAGGGATAGTAAACATTCATCCCCTGCTTTTGCTTAAAAACACCTACATGCATATGTATTTTAAAGAATTGGGTGGGAATGCAAGTTTAACCACTTTTCAGATAAGGGAAAAATGCCTTCCCATTTTCTCTGGGTTAAAAGGGGCAGTGGGGGAGTTTAAAACACTTTCATTTCAAGGCTCAAGAGTTTGCTACAGTACATTTCCTCCGTAAAATCACGTACCTATCGTTGATTCCATCCCCAGCCTTCAGACACTGCCGTGCCGGGGACAACCTAAGGAAGTTCTTACCTATCTCAGAAGAAAAGTTCATTCTGTGCCATTGCTTAGCTGTCTATTGCCCAATTAATGGCAATTGTTGGAAGTTCCACTTAGCGTCTCATGTAAATTCTGCTTGCTGCAGCCCACATATACTATGATCTGTATGGAAAGTTGTTTGACGTTGTCGCTCAACATTGAAAATGAACATAGGCTTTTGATTGTGATTCCCCAGCCTCCTCGGCCCCTCCTAAAGTTACTCTGGGAGGGTAAATGTGTGATCCCATTCATCATGATTGCAATTATCCCCCTCCCCCCTTCTCCTCTGCCCCTTGTGAGGTCAAATGAAGTGAACTAGCCAGAGGGGCAACTCCCTCAGGTCCCCTCCCACTGTGGGAGCTTTTCTGTCCTCTCCATAAATCCTGCTTTCTAAAAAAAGAAATAGCCAGAGAACCCAAAACAAGCTGGCACATCGTGTAAAGTGCACTCCCATGGCATGTTAGAGCCCCCTTGAATGCTGCTCCAATGCTATCCTGTGGAAAGTCTTGCCCAGAGAGTAGAAGGCTATGGCCCCACCAAAGAGGAGCCCAGCTACTACTTGTTATTTTATTTTATTTTTTTGAGTTGGGGTTTCACTCTGTCACTCAGACTGGTGTGCGGTGGCAGGCTCATGGTTTGCCACAGCCTCAACCTCCTGGGCTCAGATAATCCTTCCGCCTTAGCCTCCTGAGCAACCAGGACTCCAGGCACACGCTACCACACGTGGTTAACTTTTTTATTTTTTAATAGAGATTAGGTCTTGCTATGTTGTCTAGGCTGGTCTCAAACTCCTGGGCTCAAGCGATTCTCCCATCTCAGCCTCCCAAAGTGCTGGGATTACAGGTGTGAGCCACTACGCCCGGCTTCTCACACACTTTTGCATGGGCAGAAAATGATGCCTGGGAAGTGGTCAGACCTAACCTAAACATGTCTTTATTGGCGACTATGTAAAAGTCTGTTTACAACTCAACCTACACACTTTGCTTCTCCCACACACTGGACTTCACCTATTTCAGAAGTCACCTGGAGGTGGAATTTTTAGGTTTTAGTACTTTTGGGACATCCATTCAGTCATGCATTCATTCTCAGGTCCTTGCAAAGCACCCACAGAGAGCCAGGCACTGAGCATGGTCGTGGACATGGCTGTTACTCTTAGGAGCTCACAATCTGTCAGAGAATTAAACTGTCCTAAACCCTCATCTTTTCAGGGGAAGATCCCGAGGCTCGGCGACTGCGGACAGTGAAGAACATCGCTGACCTGAGGCAGAATTTGGAAGAAACCATGTCCAGTTTACGGGGAACTCAGGTTACACACAGGTATCTGCGGCCGGAATGACTTTGCTGAACTGGCTGGCATCTTCATTTTCATTGCTTGTTCTGTGTTTGTTTAGCCCTAGCAAAGTGATTTGGTTAATAACGGAATAAAGAACCTTGCTCCCCAAATGTGCTGGAATTCACAAAGAATGCCATACAATGTGCAGAAGAGAGTTATAGGGAAGAAAAATCAGTATAGACAGATTTCTCCCAAAAGCAACAGGTTGTTGACTCCATCTAACAGGACGGTGGAGACTAGCTCTATTTAAATCTCACTTTACTTGCATTTTCTGAGACTACCCTGTGCTATTAAAATGGGCAGGTGAACTACATTTAACCTGTGTGATAAATTGAATAACTTGAACTGCCACCCAGTCTTCTGATATGCAGCAATCAGTCATATTATTAGTCACGCACATGCCTAAGACACATAAAGAAATGCGTATTAAAATGTATGATCTTGTTTAAACTATGATCTACCTGGATGAAATCTGGGGTGACATTGCAGGGTTTACCAGACTACTTTCCCTGTTGAGCAATCAGCTGGAGAGGCAACCTGGGTTGGTCTTTGTGAGCTTGGCAGTAGGCGGTTTTACAGTATGTGGAAATCAGGGAAAAGTCCTTGTGACCCCTGCTGAACTCCCAGGAGTGTCCTCTGCTGCTGTTCTGGTGTCAGCTTCTTTGAAAAACACCTACAGCAAGGATACTACAGGGCTCGCTCGCATCAGGAGTTTTGGCATATCAGGGTTTACCACTGCGGGTTCTGTCTTCAGTAAGACCAGGGCCCCACACCAAGGGGTCCAATGTGAGGAGAGTCAGGCTTCCTCCAGGCTCAGAGGGACACGGAAACAGTTCAAGGCACCAAACTGGCTCTTCCAGAGTAGAATCACCTTGGGGGTTTCAGAGCTGTGCCCTCCGAAGCCTTGAGGTTTGAATGATGTGGAGTTGGATGGTGGCTTTGGTGACTCTGTGCCTAGGTGGGAAACGTCCCTCCTCCCACCATGATCACTGACACCGACTTGATGTCGCACAGCACTTTGAGAGTGGGATAGTGATTGTGACAAGAGGGATGGCCTCAGTGGTTTCTTCTGCAGGAAGAATCTCACACTCTTCTGCTAGTGAGGAAACCTCAGCGCAGTTCTGAGTAGGTGCAGATGGTAGTCTTGACTGTGCCACAAGGGTCTGCAGCACGGTCAAGACAGCGGGATACAAGAGGGTCTTGGTGATGTCCAAGGAGGAGGTCAGGCTCCTGGCACATTTTGGTCCATGCCACTTGATTTACAAGGGAACTCAAGCGGTGTTTCCAGTCTTTTGGGATAAAATATGAGAGGTGCGAAAGTCTGGGGGAAGTAGACCTTAGAGGGTTGGACAATCAGGGTTCTCCCTACCTGCATGGTTGAGAGGGAGCTGAGGAAGTAAAATGTGGTGTCAGGAACTCCTGGTGGGCCTGCACACTCCACACCTAGCAAAAGAGGGCTGTAACTCAGGAGGTTGAGGTGGAAGGGTCGCCTGAGCCTAGGATGTTGAGGCTGCTGTGAGCCATGATTGTTGTGATCATGCCACTGCACTCCAGCCTAGGCAACAGAGTGAGACCTCCACTCACCAAAAAAAAAAAGAAAAGAAACAGAAAAAAGAAAAAGAGGGCTGTGATGCTACAGTCCAGAATGAACGAACAAGTGGAACTTTCTGGCTTCATCTTTTGAGATCATTTGATTAAAGTGATTGGTGGTGGGTTTCTCACACCACATTTTAGGGGGAAAAATCTCTATGGAGCTTTTCAAAAAGTGGCTTTATTTTTTCTTTTTTTCTTTTTTTTTTTTTTTTGAGTTGGAGTCTCACTCTGTCGCCCAGACTGGAGTGCAGTGGCTGCTCCCGGCCACCGCAGCCTCGACCTGCTGGGCTCCGGCGATCCTTCCGCCTCAGCCTTCCGAGTAGCCGGAATTACAGGCGCGTGCTACCACACCCAGCTAATTTTTTGGTTTATTATAGAGATGAGGTCTCGCTGCCCAGGCGGGTCTCGAACCCGCGGGCTCAGGCAATCCACTCACCTCAGCCTCCCAAAGGTGTGGGATTACAGGCTGAGCCACCGAGCCTGGCTATTTTTTCATTTTTAACAAAAGAAATACACCAGGTGGTATATCAGGGCCATTTTTTATCCCATTTCGTACATGAGAAATATTTCATAATTCTAAAAAATTTTTAAAAACATATGAATTGCAAAGGATACTAGGCACATAGGGGGCTAATCTGGGCTGGTTTTGCCTTTTCAGCACATTGGAAACCACGTTTGATACCAGTGTCACCACGGAGATAAGTGGCCGTAGCATCCTCAGCCTGGCAGGGAGGCCCACTCCTCTGTCCTGGAGACTCGGCCAGTCCAGCCCTCGACTGCAAGCAGGAGACGCCCCCTCAATGGGCAACGGGTACCCCCCTCGAGCCAACGCCAGCCGGTTCATCAACACCGAGTCGGGCCGCTACGTGTACTCTGCACCTCTGAGGAGGCAGCTGGCCTCCCGGGGCAGCAGCGTCTGCCATGTGGATGTCTCAGACAAGGCAGGAGATGAGATGGAGCTGGAAGGCATCAGTATGGACGCGCCTGGGTACATGAGCGATGGGGACGTTCTGAGCAAGAATATCCGGACTGATGACATTACAAGCGGGTGAGTAAGGCTGTTCTCTCTTCACAGAGCAAGACAAGGCTTGGCACCCGCTTTCCCTTTTACAGACCTTTGAGTTCCCTGGAGGAGGTCAAACTGCCTCAGTTGCCACGCTGTTCATGGCAAAGGCTGTGTGGCATGGAGGGCAACCCCGCTGGGCTGTGAGTCAGGAGGCCTGCGGAGTCCAGGCTTGGCCAGTCACTCACCAGCATCCCTGTGACAGTGAAAACAGGCCATGTTGCTTCAGTCCTTAAACCCAGGGGTGGAATCCCAGCTCCTCAGCCTGGTTGCCTGGTCCTGTGGGATCTGGCCTGTTCCTGCCTCTGAGATCTCCTCATTCTTCTCCTTTCCCTGCATCCCCTGCTGCAGTTAGCTGTCCCTTTGAGAACCCAATCTCGTCATGCTCCGTCCTGCATTGCGGCCTCTGCACGCTGTTTCTAAGCCTGGATTCTGTTTCCCAGATCTCTGCATGGCCAGGTCCTTCTAGCTGCTCAACTGACCCCTCCTTGGAGCCCTCCTTACCATTCAGTGATGACTCCATCACCTATGCTAGGCTTCTTCGAAAGCGTAACACTGTTTGCAATGATCCTAAGTGTGTTTATTTTATCTTATTTATTTCTTATTTTTTTGAGTCATAGTCTCACTCTGTCACCCAAGCTGGAATGCAGTGGCATGTTCATGGCCACCGCAGCCTCAACCTACTGGGCTCAGGCAATTCTTCTGCCTCAACCTTCCAAGTAGCTGGAACTACAGGCATTTGCCACTATGTCTGGCTGATTTTTTTTATTTATTGTAGAGATGAGGTCTCACCATGTTGCCCAGGCTGATCTCAAACCCCTGAGCTCAGGCAATCCTCTCGCCTCTGTGTCCCAAAGTCCTGGGATTACAGGTGTGAGCCACCGTGCCCAGCTAAGTGTGTTTATCTTTTACTGTCCCCCTGCCACCTCCCACCTGCAGCAGTAAGCGTCTCAAAGCCAGAAGTTTGTCTTGCTCATCCCCGCCAAGTTCTCAGTGCACTTATGTAATGGGAGCTTGTCAATCTTGTTGAATCAGTGAGCAAGGGAGTCAGTGAATGAAGGAACAAACCCAGCCTCCCTGTTTCTCAATTTACTCATCTGTAAAGCCCAGGGGAGTGAGAAGATGGTGTCCAGGGAGCCCTGGAGGTGGAGCCATGGCTTTGTGTAGCACTAGGCCAGGTTTCCCTATTTGCCCCCTCTCAAATCACAGTGTAGACTCAAAGCATGTCTCCTCATTCCTCTGGCCCAAGATGTCTTCATCTGCTAACATTTCCTGCCCAGCGGTTCTCCGAGACCTTTTCCACCTCTCATGTTCTAGCCATCAGAATTTTAGATAAGAAAAATCAAGAAGAATAATCATGCCTCTCATTTCCATAAAAATAATCGTCAAGAATCCTATGAGTAAGTCAGTATTTTTGTAATCTTGATAATAATAATAATAATAATAATAAAATAATAATATTAATAATAATAATATAGGCCAGGCATGGTGACTCATGCCTATAATCCCAGCACTTTGGGTGGTCAAGGTGAGAGGATTGCCGGAGCCCTCGGGTTCCAGTCCAGCCTGGGAAACTTGGTAAGACCTCACCTCTATAATAAATAAAAAAATTAGCCAGGTACGGTGGCGTATACCTGTAGTTCCAGTTACTTGGAAGACTGAGGCAGAAGGATCTCCTGAACCCAGCAGGTCGAGGCTATGGTGGCCGAGAGCGTGCCACTACCCTCCAGCCTGGGTGACAGAGTGAGACTCCAACTAAAAATAATAATAATAATAATAATAATACTAGTAATAATTCTTCAGTGTATCAAGTACCACGTGCTCTCTTATAATACCTTGTTCTGTCCTCACAGCAACTCTTTGAAGTAGATGTTATCATAATCCTCATTTTGTAGAAGAGGAAACTGAGGTCCAGGCAGGTGAATAACTTGCCCAAGGCCCTGCAGCTGTGAAGGGGGCAGAGCCCAGGTTAGTGACTCCACAGCCTGTTTTTTCTTCACCACCACGCCGTGCCAGCTGGCCAGCATTGTATGGTTGTGTTGAAATAGCACCACTACCAGAGTGTGTTTCAAAACTCATTTGATTTCACTTAGTTTTGCCAGTATGACTAGAAATGTTGTTTTATTTTGTTAAAAGCTGAGGCATAGGGATTTCTGGTTTTCAGCCTTTCACTTTTTAAACTGTCCTGAGTGGTAAAATCTTTGAAAATAGGAGCCACCAAACCCTTTGTGGGAGCCAAGGGGAAACGTTCCTTTTGTTCTCTGAAGCTTCGCTGAAAAATCATCTCGCAAATGGTGGACTAGTTGGATAAAAGGTATACCCATTTATTGAATGCATATACAGGGAAGCCTTCAGAATGAAGACCCCAAGATACAGGAGAGATTGTCCATTTTTGTGCTTAGGCTCAACAAAGTATGGGCAACCATGTAGAAATAGGATTGGATAAAAAAGGTAAGATCTAATACTGATAGACCCAGTGGAGAAACCCAGCAAGGCCTTCGGACTAGATTCTTCCTGGCCTCTCTGAGCAGCATTCCTTCCTTCAGCGTGTGGGGCAGGATCCTCTCTGGAATGGGAGTACCAACAGGCAAACAAGGTAGGTCAGATCATTTCTTTATGGCCAGTTTTTGCACAGAAAGGTCAAGGAAAATTGGAGTAATATGTTTAGGTTTTATGACTGTTTGCGGAAGGGAAAGGTTCTGGTTTATATTGTTCGCCCTGAGGAAGAGGGATTCTGGTTTCTTGGTTAACCTCAGGGCAGAATGGGTCTGAGAGACAGGAAGGTGGGAGAGGATCAGAGAAAAACTTTTACTTCTCAGGCCTTCATTTTGCAGTATTATTTTCTGAACCCCCAAACTTTACACTATCACAAGTTTCTGCTGCCAGAAATGGTTGGGAAAGCTAGCGGATTGGTAAATTAAATGATCTAGTCAGCCTAGAACATCATCTTGTATTTCTAGTTTTCCATAAACATGAAAAACAATAACACATATCTATTACTAAAGCTGAATTGCACATAATTTAATCTTTGTATTATTATTTAGAAGACTTTTGTTATCCAGCATGGTCTCATGTTTTATGATTACCAACTCCCATGGTAATATGTTATCAAAAAATAAGGTTTATTTTGAGGTTTTTGTGTCCTATAATGAAGAGTTGATTTTATTGTTGGACCAGTCTTAATTCTAAATAGATGGCCTGTGAGTTTGTTTGTTTGTTTGTTTGTTTGTTTTGGAAAGCAGGATTTATTAAGAAGACAGAAAAGCTCCCACAGTAGGAGAGGAACCAAAGGGGGTTGCCTGTGAATTTATTTTGATGTAGTGTTGATTGTCCCCTCAAGGTGGAGACATTGAAACACTCTAACCTGGAACAGCAATATCACAGCGAGAAGCTGCTGGTTTCTTTACCCAAACCAGAGCCTTTACCTTTGCTAAAAAGCACCAATGTTTATATTTCACTTCCTGCTTTGCAAAGATTACATTCTAGCATGTGAGATAGTGCTTAGAGAAAGTGTAGATAACAGTGCAGAAATGTAAGCAAACCATCCAGTTACTGAAATTGGAGAACTTTGGTCTGGTTTTTCTTCTCTGCTCCTTTTAGTGTCAAAGTTTACCTTTAGCATGACGAAAGGGAGCCTGGATGGCACTTAATGCTTAGTGTTATTTGTAACATTCTAGAGTACTCGTTAAGCGTGTCTCTACTCTGTGGAAATGCATGTGAATTTCCTCTTTGGGGCCAAATTCGTTGTTTGCCTTTATATGCAGAGTTCAGGGCAAGTCACTGAATGCCTTTTCTACTCCTTTCTTTTTTGGGGGGAGATAAACTGGCAACATTTTAAACATTCAAAGACTGGTTATTTATTCATGCTTCAGAATCTGCTAAATAAGGCATTGTTGAGGCAATCGATGTAGTGAAAGGAAAAACAGACCAGGATATCAGACAGACCAGGGCTTAAGCCCTGCCCGGGCTCTTGCCAGCTGTGACATCAGGCGTGTCATTTAACTGTCCTAAGCTTTGAAGCACTACAATTAATACAGTTTATAACCTTCTCTAATTAGATTTCTCTTTGAGGTTGTTTCTGATTAATGACAAATATCTGATAAAGACCAAGATTCCAGCCTGGGTCTAGATGTCTTATCAGCCTCAAACATCCAGGCACTTGGAAGTAATGAAATGATGAAAGGTTTCAGCCAGATGTTTATTTGACCCCATGGAAGCCCAGCCTTGATGTATGAGTAATATGTCAATCAGTACAGAGGCTCTTTGAGGAAAGTTCTTATAAAAGTTTACAGCAAGTTTATTTTAAAAATCTGATATGGAAGCAAATTCTAGTTTCTAAAAACCTAAGATGTCTGTTTTTAAAGGGACACGGTACCTCAGTTTGGTATAACAGCCGCTTTTTGATGTTCCTAGTTGATTTTCTGGGTTGGATGTGTGTGCACTTGTGTGTGTCCTTCAGTGCTCCCCAAGTAGGGCTGGAATTACTTGATTACCATGAAGTTTAGCTGAGAGATGAAGGGCAGATGCCTTTTGTCTTTGTGTGTGTGTGTTTATCAAGTCCCTACATTGTGCTTAGTGTATGCCAGGCATGTCTAAGCACTTTACAAGTTGTCATCTGATCGCACTCCTTCCTTTTATTAAATTGATAAATTGGGCATTGGCTGTGGTCGAGAAGAAATTAGAATAACAGATGAGAGATTGCTGCCTAAGTTTTGATCCGTGAAGTCAATCCTCTACTCAGATTCTAAAAATTCAGAGTGCCATATGGCTCAGAATAAAATTAAAGAGACAATCTTTGCATCCATATGTTTGGAAGGATTTTCTTTTTTCTTTTCAAAGGAGGCACTGCATTGTACAATATTCTGAAGTATAATATATATATATATATTCCTTTATGGGGAAAAAAGACCATTTAAATTTAACTTGCGAAGTTTCTCCCTTTCTAAACCTTTGATGGCTTCCCATCGCCTGTGGGAGCAGATCTG